TCTCGGCATTTAATGGCCGGCCGTCTATTTATCGTGGAGGAAGAGGAAGCGGCTGATGGGTAGATAGGTCGAGCGTTTTGTAACTAATTTCGCGAGTAAATTGTCCGTAACATTGGTTTGGTGCACTCGGACTTTTAAACTAACGACGATAGCTCACCGGGGGCTGGAACTGTGTCGGCGTGCCAACGCGTGAATCCTGTATTGTATATCCCCGCGATCGGGATTTCGAAGAGAAGCCGAAACTTCATTCGAACGCAAGAGCGAGCGCAATGGAGTCCCCACGAGCATAAGGCGACTGTTCCACAGTCACACATCGGACATTGATTTAAAAAAATAATTATTGCACCGCTGAGAAAACAAAACACTGCAATGTTCACAAAAATGAATGTATTTAATTCGCAGTCGCGTTGTTAACATGAAGTACTTGTTTTTTCACTTCAAGCCTACAAGAGGCTTAAAATAACACAAATGTTTTTTTTTTAGATTAACGAATATTTGATTGGGATAACCTCTGACCGTGCCGCAAGTTGTTGACTTAAATAAGAGTTTCACCAATGTTTTTTCTCGGTGCAGATATTAAACGACAGTTCTCATTGTTTCAAGCGCTTTTTGATATGTTTTTGTTTTTAATATTAGTTTCCGACTCTTTACATGTATAAATACTTTTAGAATTGAAATTTCAATTCGAAAAACTCACGTGAAAAATTTACACGTGAAAGCGTATAGAAAAATGTATTCTTACATTTATACGCACATTTATCCGCACAACATCCTGCGAACGGCTCTTTACGACGAAATTCATTTATTAGTTTATAAATACTTTGTTTAATTATGTAATTATTTTTTTTATTAAGTATCCGGCCATTTATTCAGTTACAATTACAGATAATACTTTCGCGACATATTGATCAAGAGTTAAAGACCCGAAAAAAAAACTCTATCTTCTCTCATATTTAGAAGATTTCTTGACCGATAATCGAGAGCAAAATCGGAGCAATTTTCACAAAAGTCGCCATTATACTATTACACACTCTGACTCGCGTGAACATTACGAATCGCAGCGACGATTGCCGCGGAAAACTAAGCAACGTTAAAGGAGAAAATAACAACCGGTGCATACATATGGAAATTTACAACGTGCTCGAGCGTAAAATAATAGCGGCGCGGTAGCAAAGTAACAATATAGAATATTTACGCACGTTTAATGCGTACGGTGTTTTACGCGCGCGCGCGCGAGCGCGTTTATACCTACGTATATTTCGTTCACAATTTCTGAAATCGCTCCGGCCGACTTGAGCCTTTTCACGTTTGCGCCGATAAAGTTTGGTGTTACAAAGAAAAAAAAAGAAATGTAAAATAAAAGAAATGCGTAACATCTTCTTTTTCTCCAAATTTTTTCCTTTTGATCGACCGTCGATACGATATTTTATTCATGCGTCGAATAATTTTTCCGCGCGTAACAATAAAGCGCAGAAAAAAGTGAAAGAAAAAAAACACACATTCTTGTAACATTCTCTTCATTAATGTCAGCATTTAATTAAGTAGTTACATTGCGGGATAATTCAATTGAGGTCTAATTAATTTACGTCGAAGAGAGTCAATCGTTGATCTGTCGAGGATGATGTAATAAAAAAAAAAAAAAAAAAAGAGTACAAAACCGCAAGAACGAAAGGTTTTTTTGTGCAAACTCCATTGTTGAAGTATACAATTCCGACGATAGGCAGTCGACCTCACTGAGTACCTACAAGTAAGTATACATGTAAATGACTGCACACCCACTCGCGCGCGCGCGCAATTCGACATGAGTCACTGACTAGCGGTTATGGATAATACAATGACGAACGAAAGAGCCCATCGAGAGAAGTCATTGCAAATATCCGAAAAAGATCAATTTCGTTTACAACCGATGACAACGCAAAGTGACAAACGATCTTAATATCGTTTATTTATAGCCAAAGGTGCGTTGTGCGTGAAACGAACAATAATATTCGATTCCTCTGGTTGAAAGAGATGTGAGATTTACAAGTTCATCATTAACCTCTTCGTTCCGCGCTAACTCGCGTTTCCCTCTTTCCCTTCACCCTCTTCGTGTACTTGTGCGTATATATACAACGGCTGAAATAATCAGCGACGGAACGGTAATCGTACGCAGTTTTGAAACGAAGGGCGGTGAACCGTGGAAATGGTTCGTCCGGTGGTGGTTGGGATGTCCTTTCTGGCTCGGGCGGCACAATAATCGTGGATTTCCGTCCGCTTATTATCTTACACGCGTCACAATGCGTTTAGATTGCGTCCGAGGGTATCGGCTAATTACCGGTCGCGATCTAGTCAAGCGTTCCTGCCTGCGACGATAGCGTGAGACCGAGATGCGTATATGTATCTCGAGCTAATCAAAAATTTTTCGCAAATCAAAGCGAAAAATATAATTTTCATAGTTACAAAATGTAAAAAAAAATTATACATTTTTGTTACGTATTTATATTGCTATTGTGTATCTATTTACATTATTTTATTTAAGAGAATATAGAGCAAAAGAGTATAAGTATTTCAAATATACCGAACATACTCTTTTACGGACAGATTCTTTGAAGCAATTTGATCATTTTTTTCTTCCTCTTAACGAGAACATTTACAATCTTATACATTGCTCGGAGCTTGTTTAGTTATCATAAAGTTATCTGTTATCTCGAGGAGTTCCTCCGGGAAAAACTATTTTTTAATAACCTTAACGCAAGCGTTTACACAGCAATATCCACAACAGTATCCACGGTCGGAAAAACACAAGTAACCTCTTAAACATCTATATCGCGTGTGTTTTTACTTATACATATTAGCGATATCGTTCGCGCGGTGGTGTGTTTTACACACATAAAGATAAAATATAAATTAATTCCCCTATAAAATCAAAAGGTTTCTATTATACTCGCGGCATACGAGTTGCGATATTACATGCCAAACGTGGTTATCCAGAAGTCTCTAACGGTATTAAAAACCGGTCTCCGGTTTGCGCGGCTGAGATAATGAAGTGTTTCTTGCGCAAAATTAGACGTAGATCGACATTTTAGTCGGCAAAAGCCCGAACTGTCGCGCGCGTTTCACTTTCAACAAAAATCATCGTGACCATGAAAAACTCCACGAGTGACAATCGGCCTCGCATTAGCTTATGAGCCACTCTGTCGCAGATTACAAAACTCGAATAATTTATTTGCGCGAAAGAAAACAAAATCGATTCAAGATACTTGTGTGAAAAAAAAAAAAAAAAAAAAAAGAACACATGCTTTATCAAACCGAAACACATCGCGATCGAAAACGACTTCCCCCGATAATTTCCGAGACGCTCGTGTGTGCAAAGTTAACAAGTTCATTAACGAAATAGCGACCTTTACGAAAATTCTCTCGAAACTTTGAACGGAACGACCTTCGTAATGTGAAAAGTACACGCTCTCGTTCATTGCGTGAGAGATCACACGGATACGGTCACGCACGCACGCACGCACGCACGCACGCACGCACGCACGCACACGCGTGCCACATAGATAACCTCCTCTCTCGGTAAAGGTAGAAAAGAGAGACATACGAGACACGACGCGTGTGCCAGACGGACGGCGGGGTATCAAAGGATATTTACCCTGTCAACAGCGTGGCTTTACGCTGGCGGAGACGCCGCTAACATCTATAAGGGGAGAATACACAGTATATACTCACTCGTACCGAGATAATAGTAATGGGTATTATTACTCCCGCTCTATTATTTTACGATCTAACGCTTCCCGGGAATTGATACATTATCGTCGAGCGCCGCGGAGCGACGACGAGAACGAGTCGAAATAAGCCGCGCGTATGATTGACGTGAGAGAGAAAGAGAGAGAGAGGAAATGATTAAGAACATAAATATATATCCACCATTTTTCCGTCTCGTTATCTTTTTCCCGATACACACATCGTCAATGTACATACGAAGTTTGTACGTCAATGCGCTAATGAAAAATCGACAATTGCGGAACTCAAATCGCGGCAGCTTCGACTTGAATTCGCCGCTCGACTTGAACTTCGAATGTACATGTAATTACACAACGTGAGCGAAATTAAATAACTGAGATTTCGGACTAATTATCCTTTACAAATTTTTTTTTTTTTTTTTAACGTAACCGCGGAGAGTCGATAATGAATATATCACACATCCGGCGTAGAATTGACGGTTGTGATACAAACTCGTTGAAAACCTGTAATCTCCTCTGTGTGTACATGTGATTTATGACAAATCTTAAAACCTACACCGCAGTCAGTACAGAACGACACTATATGACGGTTGGTGTACTATGTGCCGATGTTTAGATCTGTTATTACAAAGGAGAAAAAATTGAACACAATTGTTCTCTCGCACGTAAAATAATGAAACTTACTTTGTAAGCGACGCTCGACGCTGTACGCGTTACCGTTTAATTAAACTAACATTTGCGTCATCGATATTGCGCGCATAATGAAGTTTCGTTCAATTAACGTAAAGGATTCTGGCGTCTGTCAGAAATATACGCAAAGTTACGTAAACCATATTGTGCTTTCGTCGGTTAATTCCTGTTTTTTTTTTTTTTCGAACGAGTTTTCTCAACTTTTAGTCGAGAAATCTCGATCTTTTCCCGTCTAATTGTCAATGAAGAAGGACTATTTATTATTCCAATGTGTTCTGTCTCGTTATATCGTTCTTTTCAGTTATTAAACTTGATTCTACTAAGGAATTTTTCTTTCGAAGAAAACCTATGCTCGTTCTCTCTCTCTCTCTTTCTCTCTCTCTCTCTCTCTCTCTTTCTCTTTCTCACGCCAGATTTCAAATATTACATCAACTTCGCGCTACCTCATTCAACGGCGATACGACGATTTTGCGTTCTCACACGGTTATCTATTCGGTAAACATCCATCCGGATAAACACACACATCTTTCGTCATATTTATTCATACGTCTAAACATACAATATCAATACCATACGATGATTCTCACTCACCTGCATCTGCAGCCACGAGTAATCGATGTACGCGGTGGTAGTGGCGGTTACGGCACCGGTGATCCCGGTTGAGCAGGACGTCGTCGACGACGAAGACGACGACGACGACGAGATCTGCTGCCAGGTGTCCTGCGCGCCGTCGCATCCGAGAACGGTCGCGAGGGGCCCGTCGGGTTGAGCCCGATCGGGCACTATTTGATCGGCGGCGTATTGATGGGTGGCCACGTAGGGCGGCTGTAACGTCGACGGCTGGATACCGACGGCGGACGGCAGGGACGCCGGATGAGGATGCTGCGCGACAACAACCCCCGTGGCGGCTGCGGCACCGGCGGGCAGACAGCACACACTCGCGTCCATCCGTGGCAGCGTCGACGGCGGCGGCGGAGAGTCGTAAAAGCGTAGCTGCTCCGGCTCCAGCTCTGTCGTCGTTCTGCCGAGGGTCAATCCGCACGGCACCATCCAAACTGCCTCGCGCCCGCCGGCCGACGGCTACGAGGATCTTCGCCGATCCTTCCTTCGCGCGAGTCCTTGACGATCCTTGAAGATCTTTCTCTTCTTCAATTATCTCTTCTCTCTTCTTCTTCAGATAGATCGAAGAAGCAAAGAAAGTTTTCGGCGTGACGTTCTCATCTTCCGGCGGAAGCGCAACTAGGAGGAGTCCGATTAGCAGCTCCTTTGGATAATCCTTTTATATCAGGAATTCACAAATCACTCTTTGTCCCTTCTGACAGATTGCGATGAAAGACCTCGAGACGACGCTGGCATCTTCCGCGGAGACAAAGAATATTTCTTTTTCTTTTTCTTTTTTTTTTTTTTAATCTTTTCTCTTTAAAAAACGGATCTCTCAAAGCAGAGGATAGGAGACGCTGTCATTTTTTCGTGACTGAATTTTTTCACGATGCCGCTTTTTTTGATTTACATTGCGACGTAAACGACCGTCAACTTTATACGTTTTCCGTCACAATCTCAGATAGTTGTGCTCTTCGGATTTTAATTGCAATCGGGAAGAAGGTTCTTGTCATGTATTTTCTTTCCAGAAAAAAAAACGATGTTGGTTTCGTTCACCGACAGAGATTCATTTTACTTCACGGTGACCACACTGGAAATCGCGCTTAACACGATATACAAGGAGACTATCGCAACGATCATGTGTATCGGAATCGCGTTGACGTCCCGCGCAACGTCAAATCCAACGAGTCTCGTGCGCGAAACTCTGTTCCGCACCAGACAATCGAGCGCTTGTCGAACTTTGCTGCGAACATCGCGAGATTGATTCGTTATAAATTACTTTTCGTATCACGATCGACGACGACGACGTTGCCGCCGACGTCGCTGTCGAAGAGCATCAACGAGAGAAGAGAAAATAAACCTCCGACTTGGAGCTCGCACCGCGAACAGTCATTTACGATATTATTTCGAGTTCTCGCGGTAACGCGGCACGACATGAACAGAGACATCGGTGTTCTCTCGAGAAACAAGTCCGATCTCGGGCTCGATATCACTTCTCTGTGTATAATTCACTGGAGATCGATACTTTAAAAATTCAAGTTTTCTTGTACGACGTGTAATATTCAGCGGATCAGCATCGTCGATAGCTCGTCGGAACGTTCTTTTTCACTCGTGCAACATCTTTCTCCTCCCTCGAACAGCCACTTCTCGTTAAAGCACCTCTATGCCCTCGCTCCGATCGACACTCGCGACGTACGATCGAACACGCATTCGTTTTCGGGATGCGATTTTCGCGTGTGACACACGAGATAAAACTCTCGTACGAAGAACGTAAACAATCATCGAAAAAAATATCGCGTCAAGATATTGAATCTGAAGCGCGCGCGCGCGCGAGCGAGCGGGTGATCGAGTGCGGCCGATGATCGTGGTCGGCCACCACGAGATCTGCGAAATGACGTTTCTCTGATGGTGACAGCGCACACTCCCGTTAATGCGTTGACGCGCGCGTGTGCTCGGTGAGGACCACGAGGCGAGGGCGGCGAGAGACGGAGAGACAGAGTAAAAGAAAGAGAAAGAGAGAAAGAGAGAAAAAGAGAACAGAGGACTTACGAAGAGGCGAGGGTGGTGATGGTGGTGGTGGTGGTATTGCGCGGTGGTGGTGACGGTGACGATGGTGGTGGAAACGTCGGTGATATGGAGAGGCGAGGGTGACGGACAAACTGCCGCGCGCGCACACTTTGACTCGGTGCGCTCCGCGTATTGTCGCGGTTTCTGTCACGGATGCGCATGCGTGACTGCGTGTCGTCAAGGCAACGGTTCCAGAGTAACTGCCTGGTTGAACGCAGCCCTCCGCGACTCGCGTGTCGCTTCTCTCTTTTGCGCGCGTGCTCGCTCTCCTTCTCTCTCTCTCCCTCCCACCCTTTTACTCTCTCTTGCTCTTCCCGCGCGCGCGCTTGGCTCACGCCCCGGGCGCGACCGATTCGAGCGGTTCTAGGCGGCCATCGAGCACACGCCCCCGTCCCGACACCGTGAATGCTGCTCTCCCTCACTCTCCTCCCCCCTCTCTCTCTTTCTCGCTCTTTCAATCTCTCTTTCACGTGTAAGATTGCTGTTTTTTTCCCTTTTTTCCTTCTCTCTCTCTTTTTCTTCCGTCGTCTCTCTCTCTCCGTTTTCATATCGACAGTATATTCCATAGGTGCACGCATATACTGTTTTCCCCCTTCGGTATAAGTGTCCTCCCTCTATTCTTTTTACCTTTTCAGTCTCTTACAATTCCGTCGTCTCGATCGAACGCGCGTCCGGCGAATCATCGCTTCCTTATCTCGCCGCGCAAAGATACACACGAGACAAATGCTGCCGCCCGCGCGTCTCGACAGTGCGCGATTATCGACGCGAGAGCTATCGAGAGCCCCCTTCCCTTCTCCCTACTTACCTCCTCCGACTTTGGCACACTTCTGTCTCGGCGCCCGCGTCTCCCTTCTTCTCCTCTGACCACCCTTTTTGCACTTTCCTTGCCGTCTCGTATGTCTGCACTTACTTTCTTCCATTGCGTCGAACACCCCTCGCCTTTCTTCAGGGACAAATCATCCCTTACATGCTCCGCTGAATTACTTTAACCTCACCCGACATGTGATACAATCGATAGTGTCAATCGCAAGACTCGATTGCAAATTGAGAAAATAAACGAAAAACGAGAGCGAGACACTTCACGTGATCTCCGACTGTGTGCTATCATTTGAAGCTTGCCGAAAGACAGAATAAAATAATAGAGAGAAGAGAGAGAGAGGGAGATGATTTTACGCGATACAACGTGTGATATACAAGTAGAATATGTAACAGGTTCGAATCACTTTCTCCGACAGAACGAGAAAGTCGTAGAGGTGAAAATTTTTACCCAAACTGACCGAAGAATTTTGCGAAATAACGAGATTTCTTTATGCGATATTAAAAAAAACAAAGAAAATTAAAATTCGACCACGCGCTCACGCAATAAAAGATTGTATCTGCACATTGTCATGTACGCTTAAAATTGGCTTTTTTTGTTTCTCACGCGCACTCACAAATATGCAATACAAGAGATACTTTTGCTAAAAATGTGAGAGTATGTGTGCGTATAATAAAGAAACTTCAGTTTTATTTTATACTAATCTGAGAGACATTGTTTTTTTTTATGAGCGCAATCGGAACCACGCGCGCGTGACCCACGTGAATTGACTGCGAGTCGCGAGTTAAGTCGATTTATCTCGAATCCGCGGGTGCGACACGCTTCTCGCGATATTCACGCGCGCACACATAAGAAAGAGAAGCAGCGGGACACGACGCATGCATCTCCATATCCCCGCGTGTGTATGTTATCTCCCTCCTCCCCGCCCTCTCTTTCCTTTCAGCCGCGAAGAGGCAGAAAAGGTTCCCTTTCTCTTTGGATTGTGAAACGATTTTCTATCGCTTTAGCTCTCCGCGCGCGGCGGATTTATTATATATGCAATGGGTTACGCAAATTACGACAAAGTGCAAATATTTCACATGACCTGCACCTGCGTGACTCCCCTTTCTACACGTGATCGTTTAACCAGGCACGTGAATCGTGACGCTCGACTGTGTGTATTGAGGGGTAATGTAATGTACGTGCATGTGTGTTTCCGTACACATGTGTGTTGTTTACGAGTGCGCACCGCTCGAAATTCCGACAAGCTTCCTGAGACCGGGAGTCGCCCGTAATTTCTCCCAGAATATAATACGCAGCGCGCGCGCGCGCGCATACACACACACACACACACCCACAGCCGCGAATTACATCTTCGCGTAATTCTGAGAAGAGTTTTTAGGGCAAACCAAATTACCGCGAGAGATAATGAGCGCGATTATGAGTTTCGGAAACTTCTCTTTCTCGTTTCGTTTCGCGCAAAAAAAATACGGAGCTGCATTATTATTTTTTCTGAATTACTGCATTTGTGTGTGTGGTGTAATCGCAAAGATATCCATATTGTATCGATAATCCTTGAATTTTGCATACCTGACCGTATGTAAATTACATACCGTTGATTCGGCCGCATGCGAGCGTTGAGAATTTCAATGCTCGGAGTATTCTCTTACAATTAGTTGCTAGATGCGAGGTGGTGTGCTCCTGCTGCTGCGCTGCTGCTGTTGCACGCCGTTCCGCCGCTCCCCGCTCCCTGCGGAAGCGGCGCGACTTATGAATGGGAGTAGTACTCGCGCCTATTGGTCGCATCCGATAGCCAATGGGTGCCCCGGCTTACTCGGCTACGCGACGAAAGTCAAGCGAAGCGATCTCGTGTCACATCTCGTGCGTGTAGTATATATGGAAGTACGCACATTTGTACCGATACTTTCGCGCGCGACGAGATCGCAATGAAATTGAATTGAAGTCGATCGATTTAATTTCGTTGAAGAAGAACGTCGCGCTATTAAATACTTATCGACGATCTCGCGTAATGCTCGTTAAGTCATAACTCAAACTCAAAGAGACTTTTACGGGACCTGGGAATTACGCGCGAAAGAAGAACGCACTTTACGTAGTCGTTACTCTATCATTATTATTGTCTATTCGTTCTATTTTTACGTAATAAATATTTTACGAGAGATTAGGAAATTTTATCGCTGACATTACGTCAATCAAATCATGTTGCGTGAAATTTTTATGGAAAAATGTTGCAGAATTCAACAAATGATAACAAAATACACAATCGTTATCACACACACACATGCAAAATATGAGAAATATTAAGATGAAAATTGACAATTGCAAAATGTAGGTTTTGGACTTTTGTTTTATTAAGTCGAATATGTTGCTGCACGCGTTTCTTGATTAAAAAAATTCTAGTAAAAGCAAATTGCGAACGATGACAAAATATATGTGACTTCTGCGGTCGTCACTAATAAAATCGGTACGACACGTAATAGGGGAAGGAAGAAGGATGGGTCGCGCAACATTAGTCGTGCGTATGGCAAATACCGAACGGCAATTATCCGCTTAACTTATGGAAAGTATAGGGAACGGGCGCGCGCGGCGACGGCTCTTATGACAGGGAAGTGTGCGAAGTTTTCTCTTCTGGGTACGTGTCCAAGGTGACTAAGCCTCACGGGATGACACCATATCCTAATGATGGATACAAGAGTAAGCGCGACATTTGTATTACATGGTATCGATACGCACCGCGCTGCTTTGTTAACGGCCGCCTTTCATACGCGCGCGAGCGAGTTGCGTTTACGCGTATTTATAGACTGGCGTCATCTATCAATTAGCCGACTCATAGCCGTTTGTTCCTCGCGCGCTCGTGATTGCGGTACAATTACGAGCGGCAATGTGCGAGTTACAATTCGTGTTTCCATTATTACGTTTGTGAATTATTCAACGCGTCGCTTTACAGGTGGTAAGAATGTGGTCTTCGACTCGCCGTGCGGAATCTGACTTTTTTTAACACGAACGGCTGTTTATATACGTTAATTGTTTAATATTTTATTTATATATATATATATGTTTCTATATTTAAAATATATAAAATTTAAATTTTTTTCGATTCTATTCACATATTTTGCAATACCAATTTCTATGGGCGTGCCACATATAAATATTATGTACACACAAAATTTCACTAATTTAAGCAACTCAATTTCAACCCCACACGTCGCCATATTTGTTAGTTTTTCCCTGCATCGGTGGCGAATAGGCGGGCGCGGAAAACTGTTTAGTCTCCACTGGAGAACTTTCTGGCGCTTTAGGAGTATACCATTGCTTGTTTTTCTTATAGAACTCTTCTCTATTTTTGTGCCTCAGCTCGTCGTAACTGACGCCTTTTTGTTGTAGATTTATTGGTTCAGTTAGATCAGTCTCTTCGGAGCGAACATCACCTTTAAACATACTTTGTGTAGTTATAATTATCACATAGATATTTGTAGAGAAACTAAACATATTTTTACCAAACTCACTACTATCATTAAAACTAGAGTATGCGTCATAAGAAGTCATCGGTGGATAATCGTCAAAGACTATTTGACCAGATGATGATTCCCGAACTTCGGATTGCACATTTGGCGGTTGAAAACTTTGATACTGTCTCTCACTAAACAAAAATAAACATAAGAAATAAATATTTTGCTACAAATTGTCAACAGGAGTATAAACAAAAACCATTCATAAACAATACCCTATGAACCTATTTCTTCCATAATAACCCAACTCTGCTAATCTATCCTTGAGAGTACTGTTTGGCATAGACGCCACCTTATCTATGCACATCTTGGCGGCAACAAATCTGCTAGATACGAAGCCTAACATACCACCAATTACAGCAGAGTATTTTGCATATGCACGAAACGGAGTCACTCCAAAAATTCCATATCCAATAACTGCACCAACAACAGCTGGCATGACAATACTTGAATTTTTCATGCACGATTGAAATACCGCGATTTCCTCTGGTGTCAACGACACCCTCTGCACAAATTAGATAACATATAAATTTACAAAATGAGTCTTTAATTATTTACATGTATTGAGCTCTATATTTTAAATTACAAAGCACTTCTTGTACTCGATACAATCGATATTTATCTATATAAATATAGTAAATATATAAAAATACATGTTAAATAAAAAACACTAGATCTCTAACCTGCATCTGACGATCCATTCCATAATCCGGTTGTTGTACATCAGTTACAGTAGCCGCCATTATTCTCGACTATATCGATACTATTTTAGTCACATTAAACACGGGAAAAAGATGAAATCTGTATTCTGTAAAGAATATTAATTAACATTAAAGTGTGAAAATGTAAACAATATAGTTCAAGTTTTGTATGTACGAGACGTATGCGCAATGACGTATTAAGGCTGTGTTTCAAATTTACTGCCAGCTGGCAGCACTTGCAACCACCGTTCCAAAATGGACAAGTTCCCCCAGTTACCGTTCGCAACTCTCAGGGCGATGTCCCATTGAGCGGAAATATATAGCGGAACGGAATGTGCGGAACCAACTCGACCAATCATAGCCATTCCGTTTTCTTTCCTTCGCTTTTTCTATGGTTACGATTGGTCGAGCTAGTTCCGCACATTCCGTTCCGCTATAGATTTCCGCTCAATGGGACATCGCCCTCATACAATTATTTTATCTTTGTTCTTCATCGAAAG